CAGATCGGGAATCGAACCCGGAATGCGTCATGGAAAGCGAGCACGCTGGCCAATGAGCTACCCGAGGGGAATTTGGATCGAGTATAAGTGGAGGATTCTCGGTGAAGGCAAAAGTAGACTTGTGGCTTTCCTTTAAAATCGTCTCGGTTTCTGTAGCTGTGTGAAGCAGAGAAGCTCGGGTGGGTGGAGTGTGCTAGTTGCGGTGAAGGGAATACGTCATGTTCGCCACATGTTTCTCTTATCCACAAGCGAGGGGATTAAACAAGGACTGGACATGGGGGACGCCTTTAGCTACCTGACAACCGACCCAATTATTGGAGGATGTTGGGTAGAGTGTTAAGAGCCTCCCTGCGCTGTGGCCAGCAACCACTCGTCCGCGTGGTGCTGGGCTGGCGCTGGGAGAGAGGAATGTTCAACGTGTGGGCACAGAGGGCGTACAGAGTAGTTGAAAATCAATGTTGAAAAACCTTCTAGGGCATGTCAAGGAATCGGAAATATCATCACGAAGTTACACGTGTGACAAGTTTAACTTCCAGGTAAACGAACATTTACTTGTATGTACACGAACTCTTAGAGAACGACCTGCCCATATTTAATGCCAGTTTCAAGTTTTTTTGTCTTTATTGTTCCGGTTGACCACAAGACTGTATCACGCTTAGTGCATCCTTTTAAACGGTGATGAACGTTCAGACGCAAGCTGTACTGCCAAACACTAGTGCAATATAAGTTGCCTACCGATCAGGGGCACTATGTAAAATTGTCACATGTGTGATTCCGTAATGAGATTTCCGCTACGTGTTCATTGACAGCAGATAAACTTCGTCCCCTCTCCCCTACGTGCTCCGTGAGTTCATTTCATTCATATTGAACCACTGTGTTCGGATGTACTTCAGTCATTGAAGGTACGCGGATCACCGAGGGAGGGGACCGCCACCGCCCGCGTTATTGACTGGTCAATGCCATCGGTTCCTACGCTGGCCTACGCCGTACCTCGTACGTGGCATAGCTTGTTTTCGAAAGTGAAAATTGCGGATATTCTTCCACGAGCTGCATTACTTCGCGGCGTGCGGGCGATACGGCCGTGTGTTGCGTGGTGCAAACAACCTTTTTGTGGCATTATCATCGATTCAATCGATTCTTACAATCATCGAAAAATTCCCTCTGATCTTTATCATCACGCGCGGGGGCATCAGTGGGTTTCAGCAACTGCGGACACATGGTGCAACAAGTGTCAATTCGGGTACTTGCAAATAATAAGGTGAAAGTGTAGAGGCCAATGCAACTTCCGGGCGTGGATTCTTTGTTTCGTATTGTTTAGTGCTGTTTGGCAAAGGGTTTTTAATTCTTACAGCTTCCAAGCCATGAGGCACTCATGGCTAACAACATCAGTACCTTACGGTTGTAGAACAATAAAAACAGAAAGAATATCCACTTACGGGGTAGGGTTCTAAGGTGTGTAACGAGAGAGAGTCTTCTGGCATTTAACTAATTGTGTTTATTCACTTCGAAAACAATGCCTCCTACGTAACTGTGAACGTCAGTGCGACAAGTTCCCTCGTGCAAAAACACGTTGCTTTGAAGAGAATTTAAATGTTTACCTCGCCGCTCACGGTAGTAGTGTTATCACTCCTCCTTTTATAGCTTTTAACCTCTTGGTTGCGACATAGAGGATTAATTCTTAAGCTCGGTACATCTACGTATTTACTCATAAAGGGTAGTTTGAATGTGAGTTCATTTTTGCGCGCACGTAACTTTGGGAATTTTCTTTGTGAGTGTCGTTGGTACAGAAATTCAATCATCAGCTGTGACAATTGGTATAGATCGCATCGTTGTAATGCTCTTTCTAATAAGAGCAGCTCGAAAGTTAATTTGCGGTAATATTGGGAATGTGGAAGAGCACGAAACACCCGCCTTAATAAAAGAAACGTTATTCTATGCGTTTTTACTAATACGCTGACATGAAGTCATACGGCATTTGAAAATTTTTGATGATAAGAAGCGCAGACTGACTATGAATTTACAGTTTTCTTGTAATCCTTCCAACTGTTTAGGGTCGGGATTCACATGCCCCAATGTTTCATTGCTTACAATAAAAGTAGTTTATAACTCTAACTTGACTTAAACCGGGTCACGTATCAACCTTACAAATCCGGGAGGGTCTACATTACTTTTGTTTCTAAGATGTTAGATTCCGTCAGGGCGCCTCGTCAGATCCATTACATTTGCCGCCCCTACATATAATAATTCTCATAATGAACGGGCGTTATTCGAGAGAACATTGGAAACGCAATTTATAACACCATAAATTATTGGAAATCAGTCTTATCAAGAATTAAACACAACGCCCTAAAAGTATCTCACAAGTTTAATGTTATTGTGTATTACCAAAAGCGGCCAATATTGCATGTGGTCCGCCAGCTTTTAGTTCTCGCTTCTGCTCGCCTCTGGATTACGCCTTGACGGAGTTGTGTTGTGCCCAGGTTTCGAAGGCTGCTTGGCCAACTTCTCGATCAACAACGAGGTGCAGCCGTTCAACGGCTCCGGCAGCATCCTCCCGGACGCCGTGTCGCTGGGCAAGGTGAGCGCGGGCTGCGAGGGGCCCGTGGGCGCGGGCGCCACGGCCGCTCCGGACCCGCTCAGCATCGGCGTCACGCTCGTCATCGTCTTCTTCGTCATCCTGCTCGTGGCCATCCTCATCAGCTTCGTGGTGTTCCGGCTGCGGCGCCAGAAGAAGGAGAAGGGCGGCGGGCCCGGCGGCAGCCCCGGCGGCGGCAGCGGCGGCGCGGGCGCGCACGGCAAGCAGAACGGCGGCGCCA